GACTTTTTTAATTGTGTCACAGGGGTTTCTCTGCGTTACGACCTAAGAGGCCCAGTGATCTAGATCTCCCCTGCTGAATCTTGGTTTCCGTATTCCATGATTAGTAGCTGTTTCCACTTTAGTTGTGTTTGGCATGTTAGCTATACTACAGATGTCATCAGGGACCTTTAATGCAGTGGTTTCTCGTTGTCTTCTGCATTCTGATGCCGTTGACCACTTTCTTGGTTCTTCCATCTTCGAGACCAATTTCTCAATCTCAAGGCAACAGAGTGCCCTTCAACTTACCAGCTCATACGCCCGAAGCCGTTGGCCAGTAAATGGTGGGTTGCTTATCTCGGCAAACACTCGGACGTCAGAGCCTCGTTGGTTATCTAGCAGGATGCACCAGATGACCATGATCTAGATTATCATACGAGCAGGTGAGGTTGTCATTTGAATAGGAGAGGCTATACGTTGCGCATCACTATCACATTACACCCCACTAAAGATTTAATTAAAAACCCTAAAATGGGAAAAAATTATTAGGTGTTACATTGTTGTTAAAAATATGGTGTGATGTTAAAGTTTTTAACAGATACCCTGCATGGCAACGTAATAGTGCCTATGGGGGCTGCTGCTGACCCTGAAACAATGTATGTTTCTGAATGGATTCTAGATGGCAACTGATTAAAATGACATTTTTTGTCAGTGTTTAATCAATTGACATCTAGAACTTTTTTAAATTTAGGTTTTTAAATAAAGCTTTTGTAATTCATGGTGTATGTATGGTACTACAGGAATGTCCTTTTCCTTTTGGATTTTACTATAATGTCTTATTACAAACTTTATTTGTAACCACTATCGTCCTAGTATGTGGTTCCAGTTTAATAAGGCTGCTATTCTGGAAAACTTTAGCCGAACATATACAATTTGGTGATTCTCATCTTATTTGCGATTCGGCGATCTCGAACCAAAATAATAATATAATATTTGTACTATTTATAGATAGATGCTATTTATATAAAAACGCAGACTGTAGAAAGATACAAATTTTCAAACATTTTATAACAGATAAAGGCTCTTGAATCCCAAATCGATCCCAGTTAGATAGCCTTGAATCCCCAATCCTTTTCGATAGAGATATCTCAAACATACTAGAACTAATCAATTATTCTAGACCATTTTCCATACACATATTTCTCCCACAACACATTATAACCAAAATCCAACAAAAAATGACACATCTCCGTTAATACAAACATTCTTGAGATCCCTTAATCCAAACAAAATAAAACTGTCACTTGGCACATATGAAGCTGGAAATAAATACTATTAAAACCAACACCAACCATTGACGCGTAAACACTTTCAAATTGAACAGTTGAAAATGCTAACAAAACAGAAAACACCTTCTCAACACACCTTCAAAACATCTATTACGGATGACCCTAAATTTAGTCCAAACTTAATGACACCAAAGACATGTGGCCACTTCCAAATTGAACAATTGAAAGAACTAACAAATCAGAAAACACCTTCTCAACTCATCTTCAAAACATCTGTCACCCTGGATGGCCCTAAATCCAGTCTTTAATGACACCAATGGAAGATCAATCAAAGAGATGCGCGAAAACTCACATGATCCACAAGAGTTATATGGTACTCCACTTATGGCACTGACCACAAAAATGGTTAGTTTTTTTAAAGACATCTGTTATAAACCGTTCATTCGATTATTTTATGTTCATTGGCATCCGTGAATCAAACTATGACGCCTGGCCAGTTCTAGGCTGGATTAACGATAGGGTGGTCTGGCATTCTGGTTAAAATGTTGCAAGCGAAGAATATGTCGACTGCCTAAAGTTAAGAATGAACAACATTCATAAACTTGTCCGACAACACATCCAGTTAGCGAGTGACAGAATGAAAGATCAATATGATTCTCGATGCAAGAATGAAAGCTTTGAAGAAGGTGATCTTGTTTGGCTTTATAGTTCAGAACGTCGACGATACTTGTCTTCTAAACTGCAAAGATAATGGGAAGTTCCTTATGAAATTAAAAAGAGAATAAATGACGTAATATACCGAATTAAGAAGTTGCCGAAAGGTAAATCAAAAGTAGTTCACATAAATCGTCTTGCATCTTATGCTGGCTCAAATGAAACAGAAGAAGCACGAACCCTTCAACATGAGATCAAAGATGACCGGCGACCCAGCTTTAATACATTTATGTCAAATTACGCAGAGAGAAAGAGTGCTAGATTTATAACCGCTCGTTTGTTGATAAAACGCTACATTATGTTGAGTCGACTATTGTTTTCTCTGGCCAAGCCAGCGAGGGGAGAATTTTAAAGTTGAAATTAAATATTAGCGCCCGAAGTAATAAATAGGTCGATAGATTATGTCCACGTTTATCAGTATGGCGGGGAGAAACTGTTTTTGTCCTTCCTTAAAGTTAAAAGATTTATTACATTGGTTCATTTTGAGTTGTACATACTTCTGTTGCGAAATTTGTCAACCACACGTAAATAGTTTGTAATTTGACTTGATTTACCATTTAATTTATATAGGAGTGAGTTAATAAAATTGTCACCTAAGTGTATAATTTAGCATAGAGGGGTCTATTTGTTTAGTGATTACACTGCTAAATTGTAAAAGTGCTAAAGAGATTGCTGATTTGAGTAGTAGGCAGTGAGCCGTGGCAAAAAATTTCAAAACCACAGCAGATTTGCTTCGATTTCGAGGAATAGCCAGTGGTTACCAGCCATATTGGTGTACAATAGGACTGGTAGATATAACAGAACTTTTTAATAAACAATTTAAAAGAGTTTTACAAGAGTTCAATGGTAGGAGGATCTAGGTCCAGACAAGCTTGGAAAACTATCAACAGTCTTAGAAAAAATACAAACGAAACAAAAAAAATAAACCCCATAGATATAGAAAGATGGAAAAATTATTATGAAAATCTATTAAATGAACAACGTACACAGTTTCTAGACACACAGATAGATAGAGTTGAAACAGGGTTAAATGAAGTGGCGATCATTACCGTAGAAGAAATAAAAAACGCATTACAAAAAATGGAAAATAATAAAGCTCCTGGACCGGGTGATTTACCTATCGAGTTATTCAAACATGCCACTGCAATAACATTAGAATTGCTTTGTAAAATGTTTAACAAGTGCCTACAAGGAGAAAGTATCCCAAGAGATTGGAAAGTCTCGTACATAAACTCCATCTACAAAAAGGGAAACAGGAATGACTGCAGTAATTACCGAGGTATCAGCATTACGTCATCCACTGGCAAACTGTATGAAAGAGTTCTGAAAGTCAGAATAGAAAAAGAAGCCACAGAGACCGAAGAACAAAGTGGATTCCGACCAGGGAGATCTTGTGTCGACAATGTATTTACTCTCAAACATCTAACGGAAAAGAGATTAGCAAGAGGACTAGAACTTCATGCCACTTTTATAGATCTCCGTAAAGCATTTGACTCCGTACCACTGCAGAGACTATGGACAACATTGGAAAACGCAGGTATAAATGCAGTATATATATATATATATATATATATATATATATATATATATATATATAAATGCCGTCAAAAAGCTATATCAAGATAACCAAGCTTATATTAAGGTTGGAAACCAAATTTCCAAGAGTTTCACCCAAACAAAGGTGTCAAACAGGGCTCTTGTCTCTCTCCAACCCTATTTAAAATATATCTTGGTAATTCTTTAAAATATTGGATGAGAAAATGCAGCCCAATGGGCATATGGGTAAATGACACTCCTATATACACAATCCTCTTCGCAGACGACCAGGTAGTTCTTGCCGAGGACCTACAAGATATGACGTACATGATAAACAAACTAATAGACGAATTCAAAAAATGGGGATTAGAGGTTAATACCGAAAAGACGCAATACATGAATATAGGAGGCATCGGCCAAGACATGGAAACAGAAAGCGGATTAATTAAAAACGTTAATCAGTACGAATATCTCGGAGTTACACTAAGTGAAGACGGGAGAGACGACAAAGATATAACAAGAAAAATAGGAAAAGGAAAAAACATGATAAAAACACTACATACGATCCTGTGGAATAAAACTTTAACTAAGAAAACAAAGAAAAATATATATCAGGCTATAATTCAGCCGGTGCTGACGTATGGGTCAGAAGTGTGGGTCTTTAACAAGAATATGTCACAAAAACTCCTCTCAACGGAAATGATGTACTGGAGAAGATGTTCCGGGTTAACTTTGTTTGACCACATAAGAAATGAAAACATAAGAGAGAGAATGAAAGTAAAGAACACAATAATGGATACGATAGCCGAAAAACAATTAAAATGGTATGGACACCTGAACGATAACGAAGAAGGACACCACGAAAGGTTTGGAACTGGAGACACAGAAAAATAAAAGGGGAAGGCCAAGAAAGAAATGGATATCCAATATGCATATAGAAATGGAAATAGAGGTCTCCAAGAAGGAGACTGGGCCGATAAGAAATTATGGCGATTGGGATGCGAGAAGCGACAAAATTAAAGTTGCAAACACTCGCTATATATATATATATATATATATATATATATATATATATATATATATATATATATATACATAAGAGTTTTACATACACAGACTAATTTATCTGATAATCAATAGACTTGTAATTTATCTAAGTTAGGAATATTCCTAAATTTAATAGATACGCTCTGTTTTTTAGTTTAATATTCTTAATTTTGTATGTTTGGTGTTTTGGGATAATTAAACCTATACTTAAACAACTCATCTATTATTTTAATCTTACTGATATGGAACAAAATCGTTGCTGAATAATTACAGTTGACAAAGGTCATTGGGACGAATCTATTAACAAATTGGGCATTTAACCCCAATTTGTCCTGATATACGGGAACTTTATCACAATAATTTCACTATTTTTTCTTTCTTTGCTACTGTTAAGTTTTGAACTTCCGTCATACATGTAATGCTTATTTTTTTTTGTAGACATGGAATCTATCAAACAACTTTCTCAGCTTGGCCGTCACTATGGAACCGATTTCGACAGGGAATAAGATCACAATCTCTTAATTGCCCAACATGGAATAAATAAGAAATAGGCTGCTCCAGCTGTCAATATAAAATATATTATTAATGCGAGTGGTAATATGTAGTTGAAGGCAACGAAATTTATCAATTCAAAATCGTTCTTGTACATTTACATATATAAAACTAACTGGTTGTGTATTTTTAAAGGAGATTATGAAAGAAATTACGGAAGTCGGTAGAATAAAATAAAAAATAACTACCATAATTAAAATTATAAACATCAAACGTTGATATTTATTGCCTAATTGTAAAATCAGATAGTAAACATATTCGAAAAATTTACATTTATTCTTACGCGATAATTATCTTCCATTGGAATTTAAAAGATCATAATATTAGTAAAAATTAGGTTAATTGAGGGAACAAAAACCCACACCAATCTACCTATAAAACAACAAATGCGCTTCTGCATGGAGAAACCGCATCTCGAAGGCTATCGTTATTTCTGCCTCTAAACAGGATTGCGTAATTTGGATAAAACATACGTGAAACAGATTATCAAAAATCCTTGGATGCAAAACGTTAAATGCCGATGGGTATGTTAAGTCCAATAAATCTTACGGGGGATTGCCAGGCATTTGTTGCAACTGGATATAAGGAGCGACGACTCAATAGGCAAAATAGTACTCAAAAGTATCATACTAGACAATAAACTTCTCCAGACCAACTGGCTCCCCTAATATATATGTCCCTGCTAGTGTGCTTGAATAAGCTTCATTTGCTGACAGAGACTAGCTACTTGCATATAATAGGCCAGATCTCATAACATATTATTCTCGGTTCCAAGATAATGCAGGATTGCATTTAGCTAAAACATTGCATTAACATTATTGTACTACACAATGTAACAATAATATACTTCCCAATATAATATAAATAAAAATAGGAAACCAAACTTACACAAAAAATTTTTTAAGTTTGATAATTTAACAATTCTATTTAACAATTTTATCAACAACTCTGCAGTCCATACAGATTTTAAATATTACATACTCAGCGAACGTAAATGATTATAGCATACTTAACAAGTAACTAGCAAACGACGCTTATTTATACGGCGATACCTACTAACAATAATCTGCGTATTAAATACAAGGAAAAAATTGTAAGTAAAGATTTTAACTTACAAATAAGGAGATAAAGGAGAATGTACACTGATATAATTCAACTACTAGTGTCACTCCGCAGAACATCCTAGAAAATAGTAAATAGAAATATGTTCACCAAAACCTATCTGTCAGTTGGTGAATAAGACAGTACAAAAACGATGCATCCTAGCTGATACTCCGGCGCAATACTTTCAGCACTCCTTATTGGCGTTTGGTTTGTTAGTTGTTATTGATGGTTGTATGACAGAGGTCCGCGTCCACTACCTACATCCCGTATGGTATCATGTCCAGCTTCTGATATACCTTGACAAACCCCAGGTAGCGACCCTAAACTAGCATTATTTATTTCCATTTTCATGGATGTACATTTATATATATATATATATATATATATATATATATATATATATATATATATATATATATATATATACAGTGTACGAAAAAGAGTTTATGGTCGGTATGGACCTTACGTGAGATGGAGTGAGAAACATAAAGAGAGAGGTATATTAGGTCCGCTCTTTATATCACCGAACATGTATGCGTGGATATAATAAAAAAGGGGAAGTTCAACGTTGCCAAACTTATTGGTTTTATTTGACCCGTTGTCTTTGTAGCATTTAAACAATGTTCTAAGATAATCAAATTTGGGCGAAATGGAATTAACTGGCAGCTTACTGTTTTTTATTGGGAATATGCCACAAGTTTACTTTACAATAAGTGTAATATAACATTTTGATTTCCACTTCGGAAATCTTTTTATATAAATAAAATTTATTAATGTTTCATATTTTAAGTACGATTTCCGAATTAAAAATCTAAACATCAAAATAAGCTTATTTTAAAGTCACATTGTGCCTTATTCCCAATATGAAATAATAAACTGCATACAATAACGCCACATTATCTTCATAGACAATTATTTGGCAACGTCTGTCTGGTCAAAACACCGAATCAAAGTAGGGTAACGAGTAGTAGAGGTGGGTAGTTGTAACTTGTTGACGTTTTTATCGTTAAGAGCGTAGGCGCAAAATTTCGGGCCAATGCTTTTTAAATGCATTCATTTTTTTCGAATCCTGAGAAAACTAATAAATATTTTTGAAAAATTTATACGCAGAATGAAACAATACATTATTACCGAGGGCCGAAAGTCCCTGAAAACGTCTATAATGTTTATTTTAATAAGTTACAGGGATGAAAAAAAAGAGAAAATTTAGTGTGATTTTTAATTTCAAATATCTCATTCAAAAAACTTTTTGTTTATTCTAAGGGACTTTCGGCCCTCGGTAATAATGTAATCTTTCATTCTGCATTTAAATTTTTCAAAAATATTTATTAGTTTTCTCAGGATTCAAAAAAATGAATGCATTTAAAAAGCATTGGCCTGAAATTTTCCGCCTACGCTCTTAACGCAACTAAACTGATTTTCGTAAACAAGTAACTTTGATTGTTTAAAAGTAGTTTCAATTACGAGAGTACCTATATAAACAAACATAATGGCTATTATCGTTTATGTGTCTATTTATTGAAGTGAAAGAAACTAATGATATCAGGGGTTCGAGCGAAAACCCGATAACCAACAAAATCATTGTTCGGAGATAATCGCGATTAAAGATTTTCGTAACATTGAAGAGGCTTTAAAATCGTCATAGGAAGTTGTTTAAAATATTTGTTAAAGCCAAACAGTAGAGAATTTAATGTTTAGTTAGAATAATTTATTTTTAGTTTAACTTATTAAAAGGTATTTACAAAAAAAAATAAAACATGATATTTATCGGGTTTTTCCTCGCTGAATGAGTACAACAATTCATTTTATTGGTTTTTATTTTGAATTTTGTCAATTATAAAATGAAAATGAACTGTATTTATATTCAAATAATAATCTACATCATTTTTAGGAAATTAAAAGGTAATATCTTCTTCTTCCATTATTATGTCTGGAATTCGATCTACGACATTACTCCCTGTTTTTAAACTTGATATCCATGCAGCTCTTCCGGAAAAATGTTTTCTTGGCATATCTTCATTAAATACTTTTTTTTGCTTCGCTTATTGGAAGAGTACTTTTGTATTCAAAACTATACTAATACTAATACTATACTAATTCAAACCAATATCTTCTGATATGTTTAAACACTTTAATTCTTCTGAGAGATCGTAGTTTATAAAAATTTTCGTTGTTTCACCTTTAATATATTTTAGTCTCTTGATTTTTAACCACTGCACAGTATTACCGTCATAATCTACTATTCTGTTTTGCAATATATTTGCTGCAAGTGACTTTAAATCTAAAAATTTATTATATTTTATTTCTTTTACCTTGTATGGGTCTATATTATGTTTCACATTGTCTACTGTCTTCATTTTCTGTTTTCTTGCTGTTTGAAATATATTTTTCCAGTAATTCATGCATTTACATATTTACTTGCAGAGTCTATTGCCGAGTTTATAGAATCCACTTCCATATAAGCGGTGATTCCCAAATAGTAAGATTGTATATTACCAATTATCTACGATAGTATAATTGACTAATAGATCCTTTGGGTATTTGTAAAATTGCTTGTAAATCCAATGTTACAGACATAAATGTCTTGTCTTTATTTGCTTTGTCTTTATCCATTCTTTTAGCGGCCTGACAAATTTCGTTTCTTTTTCTATGTTCTTCGTAGATTATTTCAAGATTTTTTCTCTGCTCTAGATCAGCCTTAGCATATTTGGCACAGATAAGACACTGGTCCTTTTTGCGCGTGAAAAAACTTAGATTAAACTCTTAACAAAAAATAGATCGATATTTACGTAAAGCAATAGGGTCTCAACTATTTTCGATGCAGTTATCTGAGTAAAACTGGTGCATTTTTTTGATATTTATAGTGGGATCTGAGTATTTTCTAATGGTCTCCTTTCGGGTATAATGAGATTCCATAACCGGAAAGGATTCAATATGACTTTTAACAAATTGAACATCTTCAGCCTTTGTTTGGTTAACTGGTTCCTGTTTTAAGCGATTGTCTTCTTTAGAATAGCAACCAATAGAATCACTGTTAGCTACAGCATTTATTATAACATCTTAGGATGTACACAGCGTTTTTGTAAAAAAACTTTTGGCACACTGGAATCCGTTCGTTGTTAGCTAGTGGAAAAAAACATTTCTTGCTAAATTTTCGTTCCTTTCTTTTGGAAGTTTTAAGGAAAAGTCTAGTCCTAATTTGTTTTACAGCTATGTTGTGTAAAATAAAATTTTTTCTAGATTTAAAATCTAGACTCCAGTAATTTCTACAGAGTTTGTTTCTATAATCTTCAGAAAACTTTTCAGTATACTTAAATTTACCTTTATCACAATTGATTTGCTGGGGTACCTTGGGAGCGCTGGTTTTGTTTTTCGTTATATATGTGCTCCCTTCTGACCGCCTTTTTTTTCGCAATATTCAATTTCCATTCAGTAGGATTACTTTTACGCCACCTTTTCGGCTTTGTTACCTTACGCAGTACTGGTTATAAAATGTCTTTAATTATTAATGTCACCAAAGATGTAGACGTCTCAGAGTATAAAATTTTCTTACGTTAAACTTTTTTTTTATTTACGAGATCATTTTCAGATACAACAATATCTTCAAAATCCAAAGATAACTCTGTGCAGTAGTTTGGATCCACGTCAGAATAATCACCTCCAAGTAAAGAAGTAGTATCGTCAAATTCATCAATTTTGTCGATGGACTCCTCAGCTTCTGAAATAAAAACCAAAATAGAATACTAATACATTAAATATTATTCTAAAATGAAGTCACCTGTGTTAAAATCATCATCTTCCATTGTATTTTCGATATACTCTGCTATCCGGCATTGATTTTCGTCTAGCTCAGAAGAAGTTTCAGATATGTTCTATTGCACATTCTTTGACATACAAGTAGGAATTTAATATTCACCATTAACGCGCATACGAGTAATCTGACGGCTGATGTGGTAATATAACTTTTTTCTGGTCTAATGTAAGCGAATGAATCAAAAAACAAAACGTTAAGAAAACATGAAGCTATAGTTGGATTTTAATTTCAGTATTTTATATGCCAGAAAATTTTCAATGCTAAAAAATTCCACAGGGTGATGCGAACTTTGAGAAAAAAAACATACTTTGATTGGTACACCCGGTATACAATGAAAATTTACCCGATTAGCAACATTATTACAGCGATATTGTTAAAGAATAAGACTTATAACATGTTAAAAAAATTACTGAAATTGGACAACAGGTTTAGAAGATACGAGACATCAAAAATGACCCATTTTTAAGGTGTCCGGTTAATTTTGCACCCCAGTACTGAATTTTAGGTCTTGATATCGAAAATGAATTTATTGAGATAAAGTGGATTTAAAATAAAACATCTCAATTTCACCTAATTACTCTTAAATTTAATGGATGATAATTCAAATAACTAGGAACTGTATAATTATACACATAACAAAAAATATTACCTACCAGTCTTCAAAATAATGGTTTTTGGTGACCATTTCCACTAACATCTTACTTCGATTACTCATTTTACTAATTTATAAAAATCAAACTGTTTATTTCGAAAACAAGCACGAATCACAATAACAATTCAACATCAAACTATACATTTGTTAGAGAACGCAACGTCCATAATCAAGTCCAGATATGTGTGAACTAATCAGAACTACCGACCCAAAAAGGTAAATCGTTGTACTTCGTGTAACCTAAAATTGATTTACTGGGTTTTCGCAGAACAAAAATGTGCTGAAATTGAATAAAGTATAATAGTATAAAATTCTTTATTGGATTTTCGCATGAATATATTTTGTTAAAATTAACAGCTTTGTAATCTTCATATCCGATAAATGTATTTATATATTTTTAAAATCTTAACTTGCGAATTTCTTTAAAAAAGAAAGCAGTTAAGTTGTTCCTAGAACTGATTTTATATTTCAGACATTTATTATGAATTTCAATTTCCGATAAAATGAATTATCTGTTTTTAACTCAGAAATATTTCTAATAAAATTAGTAACTTTACACAGGAAAAGAAGATAAATGATTCTATCGGATTCTCATATTATAAATATGTTTACTTCAAAGTATTTTTATCAGTAAAGTTATATATGGGGTTGGTGTTATTTAAAAATATGACTTAACGGTTTTTACCATGTTTGGTTTTTATCAATTATTGTGCTTAAAAATGTTAATATCATATTAAAAATTTTTTCAGTGATAGAAGACGTGTTTTTAATACAGAAGAAATAAAAATACTGTATTTCATAATTTTGTCATTTATCGGTTTTTCGCTCGAACCCCTCGAATTATAACTTAAAAAATAAACTAAACAATACAATAGGAAATCGTACTTAGATTTACATTAAACGTTATTATTAAATCGCGAATAGTCTAAATTAACATTTAAAAACATAAGTTTTTCTACTTTACTTCTTGTTAACCGTGTTCGTTTTTTATTTAATATTAAACCAGATTTTGATCATGTGTTCATATTTACAATACTTTATGAATATAGTGGTTAAGTAAGGATATACATGGCGATGGTTTTTCCACCGTTGTAATGGACTCTCGATAAGGGTGTACGTTTAGATGAGTAATCTCCAATTAATTGATCAAAAATACACCATGGACTTAAGTCATCTTTATCGGTTTCTTTTTTTTGTACTGGTTGATTTTAAATAGTAGAATCTTCTTGTTCTTTAATTATAGAAGTAACCAGCTTCTTAACTCTTTCTTTTGTTTTTTTAGCTTTATTTTTATCAGAAAAACCCTGCACTTTATATCGTGAATCCATAAATGTACAAAATGACAATGTGCCACTCTGTTCTATCCCTCTAAATCTTTTTGCTAAACCAGATATTAGTAATTGTATTACGTCGGATACTATCGATGTAAGGTTACCGTTTGCTAAAATTGTATTGCAAGATTCTTGCAGGCAGCGTACCATAACAATCACTGAACTACCCTTCAAGTATTTTTGGCCACTCATTGTACTTGTTATTTCTTTAAATGGCCGTAAAATTTGGGAAAGTTGAGAACAAATAATCCAGTATTCTTTATTTAGATTTGCTCTAAGTCTAAGTCTGTATTAACTAATACCAATGTGGAACGGATTGCCTCTTCTAACCGAGTTAGAAGAGTGCACTATTCCGTTTGGTTACTTTGTTATGTTGTAATTGATACTTTAAAGTCTTTCTGAAGATAAGGTACTTTTTTTGAAATGTGTTTTTTGCCGAATTGTCGAAAAAAAGACTTTTTATTTTATCTATTTGTACACGACAGCATTTAAGTGCGTCCTCCACCAATAAATTTAATGTATGAGCAAAACAATTTAAATGTTTTCATTCCAAAACATCTTTAAAAGCTTTGACCATATTTGAGGCATTATCAGTTACTACAAAATTTACTTTTCGTTTTAGACCCCACTGATTAATAATTTCACTAATTTCAGAAGCGATGTTTTCTGAATTATGGTTTCCAGAAAAATGGCAGCAGCCTAATAAAACCGTTTTAATTCTAAATTTTCGTAAATATTGTCCGTTAATCATACTCTCAGTTACTCCAGATGTCCAGAGGTCAGTAGTAATACAGATATTTTCTACTTCTTTAACAACTTGTGATCTAATAATTTGCTGACAAAGTTTTTCTTATTGGCGGTTTATATCCAGGAATCCATCCTGCAAACTGTTTAAAAGCTCGTTCTTCAACTATGGAAAACGGATGAAACGAGTCTTTACATAAGTTTAGTAAATCTTGAAAATCAACCAGTACAAGAAAAAGAAACTGATAAAGATGACTTAGTCCATGCTGTATTTTTGATGAATTAATTGGACATGACTCATCTAGACATACACCTGTATCGAGAGATATAAAAGAAGTCAACATGTATTTGTCTGATGATATATTACCCACAAAAACTTTCGAACGGAGATTGGAACTGTCCATTACCGTGGTGGAAAAACCATCGCCATGTATATCCTAACTTAACCACTATATTCGTAAAATATTGTAGTATTGTAACAAAATCTGTTCCTTGTGAACACATGTTCAAAATCTGGTTTAATTTTAAATAAAAAAAGAACACGGTTAACAAGAAAAGTGGAAAAACTTATGTTTTTAAATGTCAATTTAGACGATTCGCGATTTAATAATGTGTAATGTAAATGTAAGTACTATTTGTATTGTTTAATTTATTTTTCAAGTTATAGTTAATATATCCTTCGTTAGTTTCTTTCACTTCAATACTTATACACATAAACGATAATAGCCAATATGTTTGTGTACTCGCTAATTTGAATACTGGTAAACAATCAACTAGTTACAGTTTACAAAAACGGTTCCGATAAAAATTTAAAAAACTAGAGGACCCACCTCTAGTTTCTTAGCTATATTAGGATCGGAACCAGAGAATATGTAAAATATCTCTGATCGGAACTAATCGTCTCACTAATGGGCAATATGCGTCAATAAGGTTTATGGAGGGGAGACAAGGGGAAATATGATTGTTATCTTTGTCTATTCGCTGAAAATATGATTTTATATCTGTGTTAGATATCCTGTTAAATTTTACCATACCGACCATAAACTTTTACCTACACTGTATATATATATATATATTATATATATATATATATATATATATATATATATATATATATATATATATATATATATATATATATGTTACACTTGAAATTTCCGCGGGAGTTGTATGTGCTTTCTGTAGTTTTCCGGGTTTGACTCCGCGTTGAATAATTTTGGTTTTGTTAAAAACCATTATTTTGACGGCGTTCCGGCAAGGTCGCACTTGTCATTGTCAAGTCAGGTAGTAGCGCTTCTCGCTGGTGCTTGAAGTCATTTAACTACAGGCCTTGTAGGCCCCTGGCTTCTAAAAACTTGGTTATTTCTCTCCATTTTTTTCGGTCCCTTGCTTTCTTTTCCCTATTTCTGACAAGTCTTGCTTTACTGCTTCCAAGTGCTTCTTCTTTGCCGTAACTGCTGGTTTTCCATACATCCTCATTATTTCTTTATTCGTTCGTCTTCTCCAAATATTCTCTATCGTCTTTATTCCTCTGAATCTAAATGTGTCACCACATCATCCGCGTACGCTATGCACTGTTACCTGCTATTGAAAATAGTCATGTTTGTGCATATATTTGATCTTCTTACGATTTGTTCTAATACTACGTTAAATAAATTCGTTGATAGCGGTTACCCTTGTTGTTAAACCTCTATTCATTGTGAACTATCTTGAAAAGCTTCCTTCCATTGTTACTATATTCATCTTGTTCCTAAGCGTCATTTTCACTAGCCTTAAAAGCTTTTCTGGTATTTTTAATGTTCTCATGGCCTCATATAGCATCGTTCGATTTAGGGAGTTAAATGCTTGCTTAAAATCGATAGATAGAATATGTAATCCTAAGTTTTGATCGTAGCTATTATTTTGTATTCATTTTAACATACTTATTTGATCAGTAGTTGTTCTTCCTGATTTAAAACCTTTCTGTATTTTAGAATCACTTTGTTATCATACTTTATTAATATTTTCCTAATAATTTTTGAAGTATTTTATAGACTACGCTATACCTCTATAGTTTTCACACTTGTTTTTGTCTCCTTGTTTATAGATAGGGCAACTAAGAGCAATATTCCATTGTTTCGACATTTTTTTCTATTCTTCTTCTATTGTCAAATTATTAGTGTCAAATGAAATATCATTTCCTTTGATGATGCTTACTAAACAGTGGGCGAAACGTCTTCAATAAATATATAAAGTAGCACAACTCTTGTCTTTTTTATCTCCAAATTGAACGAAAACATACCATTCACTTTTGAATGGTGAATGACTTTAATATAAAAAAATGCACGAGTGCATTTTTTTATATTAAATTAAACGGTCATACTCCTTAAAGATATATATATATATATATATATATATATATATATATATATATTATATATATATATATATATATATATATATATATATATATCGCGTCGATATCCATTGGGCCGAGCTTTCGACATCCTCTCTGATGTTATCTTCAGGGCTTCCGAGGTCTCAGTCTCCCGAGCCCTCAGACACTACTACACTCACTAGTCACTTTACTTTCACTACACTCTAGTATATATATATATATATATATATATATATATATATATATATATATATATATATATGTATATATATATATATATATATATATATATATATATATATATACTGTCAGGTATTAAGTTTTAGTTCCAAGATAGGTGTCATTACTACTCCTTGGAGATCGATGCTTACAATACGCATTCGCAAGTGGGGCGCGTCCGATAGAAGTAGTGATAAACTCTCACATGATTCTGGAAAATTTGTGAGAGATACTCTAGGAAATAATTACTAGAGCGGAAAGAGCCCCTTCAGAGCTAAATCTTTTTTATACCCTTAGTTGTTTAGATTTGGACGTACTTGTATTTGATATTCTTAGCAGAGAACTAACGAACACAGAGAAGTGACACTCCTTTGAAGTTGCGTGGGCAAGCCGCCAATGACAGGAAAGCAACCAGCAAACTAATAATCAGTGGACATCATCACCCAATATAAATTCTTAAATAAAATTGTGCATTTATGTTGACTTCCAATAAATATGAAATATTGCACTGAAAAAATAATTACATGCAGGGCCAGCTTTTGTTGACATTTTAAATGGTGTACTTATTTTTGATTTAAAAAAAGTTGCAAATACATTGCACAACGCAAAGTAATGGTGAAAATCGTATTGATGGAACCAATCTTTTTTGGTGGTTCTTCGATATCTTCACCGTAGTCAATTATGTTTATCGTATGATATTGAAGGTACTGCGTCATGCATCAATGTTTTTCTTTTATTTCTTTTTACAATAAGATTTTCTTCAAAATGAAGTTCACAAATCCTATAACTACTATAAAGTAAATCCATTTTTAATAATAAATCTTCTCGTCTGCAAGCTTCTATCCACATTTTGGCACTACAAATTTTTAACAAAACAAATTTTAAACAAAGAACTTTTTTGTGTTTATAAATAATACTTCATTACTCACAACTATAAGAGTATTAATATATTTTAAGTAATGAAGTATTTAACTTTTGTCAGTATTTTATCTTAATAAATTTACAGTTTTCTCCTGATTGTCACAAAATTGTCACTAAATATTGAGATATACAACAAATAAAGTTTTAATATTTTTTATTTGTAATTCCCATTTAAATATTTATTCCCTAAACATTTTGTGTACTACGATCCATATATTTGATCTTTGTTATTTATATTTAACGAATTAAACATTGACAGACAACTTTTGTATATAGCAAAAAGTAGATGAGTATTTAGTTTTTTCATAATTTAATGTAAGTTTGTTTATTTGCAACCATGTTTTTATTTTGAAGTCTTGTTCTGTTGTAATTTTAAGATTTTCAATTCAAACAATTTTTAGTTTGAGCATTTTAGAAATTTCTTTGTTTCGTTTAAATAAAATATTCTCGTGTATAAAACCTTCTATATATTTTTATTTCCTAAAAATACTATATTCGTATTGTTGTCTTCGAGCGCTTTCACACCAGGCCAACATCTGTTGATTTTTTGACCTGAGCCTTCGGAGATAATAAATTTAATGTTTTCATTTTGAACTATCCCTTGGCAGACCAAAGTTTATTTTTTATTGCTCCACTTAACGAGAGCTCGGACGGACACGTCGGCGTCGGCTTACTGTTCGAAAGTCAAACTAATACTATTATGTAATATCTAATAATAATTACAAAGCAATAGTAATTACCTGTTATTATTCTTAGGAAATCTAAATAAACTTATTCCTTTTCCTGTCACAGATGAACATCCGCGAAACGCACAACAATAACCAGAAGACATTTTAAATACTTATAAATTAAACTTTTAACTATAAACTATAACTATAAATTTATATATTTAACTTATATATTTTAACTATAACTATAAACTTTTAACTACTAAGTAAATTAGATAAATGGTTAGATGCACTTGTATAGTAGAGTATTTACCACAGGCGCCTACGGACTATAGTAAAACAACCAGAGTTCAAGAATAAGCACGTGTTTTTGACAGTAAAGCAACCAGGTTTGGGCATGCGTATACAAAAATGGTACACGGATTTCGGTGCTGGTGTCGCTTCTCTGTATTCGTAGTTTTCCGATTCTTAGCATCAGGGAGATATTTATAATAAAGAAGATGGTTACTAGATACCTAGGATATTAGACGTATAAAACGTTCATATGACTTGTTTACTTGTATGTGTCTCCCATAAAGCACCTAATTCATCTGGAAATATATAACATACATTCGTCCCATATGTATTTTATTAAATATTTCAGATATTACTTTTATTTGTTCTGCATCTAATAATTTCAGCAGTTCTGCAGGAATTTCATCAAGTCCCGGTGCCTTTCCAACCTTCATTTGACTGACGGCTGCCATTATTTCTTCTGGTAGGATTTCGGGACCTGAATTTTCTTCAATGGTGGGCTCTTATATTGTCTAAGGTCATGGAAAAGTTTCCCAAGTATTCATCAATATAATCTTTGTTTATCTAGATAGTTTCTTTACTGATATGAGATACGGCCTATTATGTAACTTTGGCCAGTTAGGGATATATTGATAACAAAGGAGACGGTTGGTTTTGGCAAAGTTCCAGTGTTTTAGCTACTCTCTTCCTCTTCAGTTCAAAGTCATACAATTACTTATATTTAGTTGCAGCAAATGCCTGGTAGCCCAGTAAAATGTTTAATGGTATCTTGGGCTTGACATTCATCCCGGTATTTATTGTCTTGCACCTGAGGATCTTTACCGATTTATTTTAAGTAATTTAAGATTGGAATTATTTTATCCTAAATAATAAGTAGAAAACCATCTGTTTCAGTAGTAAGTTTTCTTGATGTCCTACCAGACTTGATCGACTTGACCTACCATGCCCATGCAGAGATTTTCCCATCGATATGCATTTTTCTTTAGATAGAAGGTTTGTAAGCATTTCTTCTTTTCTTAGTTTAAACGGTGCTAGACTACCATCTACTGCGCAAATTGCGCGATGTAAAGTGAATATCAGCATATTTCTGAAAATAAGTTATTAAGTTAGCAACCTGTTTTTCTAATTGTTTACTTAT